AATTTACATTCTGTACCACTGAATATATAATATACATATTTCTGAATATATATTTTATATATTCAGAAAATAAAGTGACGAGAAGGACCAATAAAACATTTCCTGAAAGGGGGCCGACATAGACAGATGGGGTATGGAGGGAGGAAGGAGGAAGGTGGGCTGTGCTGCTGCAGGAGAGGTCTGATCAAGGTGAAGGAGTGAGAGAGTGAAGAGGCAGAGAGAGGCAGGGGCAGGGTTTGGGAATCCTGCTTCTCGGGAGAGGGGCCCAATGTGTGGTCACCGGGCCCGGGGAAGTCTCCAGAGTCCCAGAGGGTGGGGACACTGGGCCCAGCTGGTCCCTCCAGGCCAGAGACATCGGCTGCTGAAGACTCCAGCCTGTTGGGCCCTGCTCTTGGCTGACCCACAGCCACCTTGTTTTTCATGGCTTCTCCTCTGGGAGGCAGGCATGGCTACTGTTCCTGTGTCTCCTTCCAGAACATTCTCTGTCTCCACATACAAACACCCTCTTCGGCGTATTTGTTTCCTTTTTCCAACACGCGTGGCAGTGCTAGACCTGTCGTTCTGCCCCCGGTCCCTTTCGCGGAGCCGTGTGCGTGGGACATGGCTCCCTAGCTGTTTGGACAGAGCTGACTGTCCTTTCTCATGCCTTCATGGTCTCCCCAGCCTGGTCCCCCCTTCTGACCGACACATGGGAAACGGATGCCTAGGACGCCAGTGTGGGCTGTCAGGAGCTGAGGCTGGCTGTGGGGGGAGGCTAGGACTCAAAAGGACAGGCGTCCTCGGAGCCTGTGCCTCTTTGGCCCACAGCCCCTGGCCCCACAGTCCCCCACTGGAACCTGTGGCCTGAGTGGACATTGTGCGTTATGCCCCAGGCTAGTCCCCAGTGGGCCTGAGCACTGCTCGCCGACGGCCCCCCAGGACCTCTCTGCCCCCAACCTGGGAGGGACTGAGTGGGGCACTCAAGGAGCTTAGGGTACACAATTTAAGGGGGCCCCCTCCTCAGGGCCGGGCACACCCTCACTCTCCTCATCTCAACCCTGCCCAAGGTCATGCCCCTCCTGGAACACTTCTCCAGCATGTCCAGGAGATGGGCCTGATAAAGGCCTGTCCCCCTTGATCTGGAACAGCTGTCCAGGGCCATCTCTGCTCCAGAGCCCCCATGCATGGAAGCCCAAGCTTACCCTGGGTATAGGTCCTCAAGCACGCCCCAGGCCAGTCAACCTGACTGTGACCCTCTTGGCTGTCCTTCCCCCCTTCCTCAGGACAGCAGGCACTGGTCAAGGTGGGGGCGGGGGGTGGTTCGCCTAAGCAGGACACGGGGCTAAATCCAGGCCATGAGCCATGCTGGTTCTCCCAGGGAGACAGGGCGGAGCCAAGTTAAGCACCATCTGCTTTGGCATTTAAGATAGTCTCTGATTATCCACCCCTCCTTGGAGCAGGTGGGGGTCTCCTTGTCCTCTGAGCCCCTGCCTCCTGGGTTTCCAGCCAAGCCAACCTTGTCACCTGGGGCAGTCAGCCCCCAGCCCAGGTTCCATGTGAAAAGCAAGGATGCCGGCCTCGGAGAGTGGTTCTCACCCTGGGATGGGCGGGACAATCAGCTGGGAAGCCTCAGAAACACACCAGTACCCAGGACCCCCGGCCACAGCAACTGAATCCCAGCCCTCTGGGGAGCGGGCCAGGGCTGCACGGGTCTTGAAAGCCTCCCCTGTGGGAGGCTTAGACCCCTGGTCTGCCCTGATTCCGTGTTCCCTACTACTAACACAAGAAACTCTCGGGAGCACACCTCAGCAGCCACAGCCCTGCCCGCCCCAGGGACCTTGGCTCCCCCGGCTTGGCCCCACGGCCCTCGTCCCTGTCACACTCTCATCCTCACTGCTCCTCAGCTCAACAAACTTGTTCCCGTCTCAGGGCCTTGGTGTCCGCTGTTCCCTTGGCCTGGAGCACTGCTCCCTGCCTCCGTGCGGCTGGCTCTGATACTAGGGCTGCAGGAGGCCTGTGCCTGTCTCGTGCCCACTGGGACACCACTTCAACTCCCTTTTCTGCTGTCGCCACACCATCCGCCGGTCTGGGTCTCATGTTCACACCCTCGTTTCTGCCTCTCCTGCGTGGGGACAGGGCTCTGAGCCGTCCGCGGCCCTTCCCTCGGGCCTGGGGCAGACGCCCAACAGCGGGCTGCCTGCCGGTCAGCTGGGAGGTCATGTGGGAACCTGGCGCGGGTCTGGGCTCTGTACCCCGCGGGGAGGGGGTGCAGGACAGACAGCGAGGACCCCTACAGGCAGGAAGCTGCTGCTCACAGTCCAGAAGGGGACATGGAAGCTCAGTACACTAAGACGTTGACCGTGGCCACATTCTACCTCAATGCGGGGCCCCACCATGTCATCATCCTTTCAAACGCATGAAGCCCTGACGCATTCCAAAAATGGCTCAAAGTGTATTAGCCCAATGGGTACCTTGATCCCTCCCTTTCCACGGAGCTCCCAGCCCCTACTGGAGTAACCCCCAAATTCCCTGCCTCCCCCCAATCAGGCTGCTTTTCTCCTTGACCACCTGCTGTTCTCCTCCCTCCGTCTCCCAGACCAGCTCTCCCAGGGCGGCTGGCTTCCCTGGTGCCACCCCTGCCCAGAGACCCGGCCACGGGTTTCCGTCACGCGGCAACTGGCACCAGGGGGCTGTTCTGAGTAACGTTCGCCTCCCCCTCACCCCCAGCTCCCCGCGGTCAAGACGCGCGGCTGCCTTGCTCATGTCTGAAGCCCCGTAGCCGGCCCTGGATCCACGCACAGTAGGGATACGATCGCTGTTGGTGCAGCGAGCAGTCTCTCGACCAGCTCTGCCCGCAGCGTCGGACGGCTCACACCTGGACTTGGCCCTAGAAGGCGCGCCGCATCGTGACTCTCATCTTCGCTGTGACCTGAGGCTAGTCTCAGGCCCCCTGACACCAATGAGAAACCAGCACTGCGACGGCCGGCCCCCAACCACCCCATGCCTGGGTACAGGCCGGAGGGAGGGAGAGGGTCTGAGCCCCCCTGCGAAGGAAGTGGGAGAGATGCCTGGGCAGTCAGGGGCGCCGGGGAGGGCGGACCCATGTCCCAGGCCCCACCGTCACCATCGTCACCTGCTCGGCACAAGAGACTTAAGACCCCACTGGCATTGGGCAGATCCCAACAGTGGGCTGTCCTCCCAAACAGACGGCCAGTCCTCCTCAAGACCGTCAAGGTCGCAGAGACAGGAGCGTCTGAGAAACTGACATGGTCCGAGGAGCCTGAGGAGACGTGACGAGGAATTGTAAGGCGCCTCCTGGGACAGCAAAGGGGCTGTCGGGGAGAACAGGAAAGCTGAACAAAGCGGGAGCGTGCTGGCAATGACGTATCTGGGCGCGTTCAGGGCCCTCGAGGAAGGGACCCAGCCGAGACAAGCTTTAACTAGAGGGGAAACCGTGAACCTGAAACTACTTTCTGTAAATCTAAAACTGTCCTAACAAATAGTCCTTAGAACACATGAGCGAGGCACCAACCCCAGATCCAGTCTCCATCTCCTGGTGCCTTCCCACCTGGTCCTTCCACCCCAGAAGGACGGTCCGCTGGGACCAGCCCAGCCCAGGAGCCTGTCTCCACAGCGAAGCTATCATTGGCTGGGGCTGGCGCTGGTGCCCTCAGGGGAAGCCCAGAGACCACACCGGCCCCTGAGATAGCCCCACAGGAAAGCCCACACCTCCAGATTGAGTTCTCCTGCACCTGCAGCTGCCACTGGAATGGGAAGGTACAAAAGGCCGGGCAGACAGGAAACCCTGTCCATTTACAGCGCCAGTCTCAGATAACTCTCGAAGCCTGGCCCGGGAGATGTCCCCACTCGTCACTCCATTTTGCAGATGGGGAAGTTGAGGCTTTGATACATGAACTGATTTGTACGATGTTGCAGATTGCCAGGACACACCCGGGATCTGAACTCAGATCCTTCTGACCCTGGAGCCCGGGCACCAGTGTTCTCAGATTTGAGCAGGCACTGGAATCCCCCCGAGGGTTTGTTAAAAACCCCCAGAGCTTCTGACTCAGTAGGTCTGGGAGGGGCCCACGCGTCTGACCAGTTCCCAGGTGAAGCGGAGGCCGCAGGTCTGGGGGCCCGACCCTGCTGCTCCCTGGGGCAGTGCCGCCTGCTGCTGACCTGGAGAGAACGTGCTCGTGAGCCCACAAACCGGGAAACCACTCATCCCTCTCCTGCCCGCTGAGCCAAGCCCCTCCTGGCCAGCCAGGGGATGCAGGGCTGGTGAGAGCAGCCCTGTGCCTCGGTCTCCCCACTGTCAAGTCACCTACGCTGTCCAGCTGTAACGAGCACGAAACAGGCACACCGAGGGAGCAGCGCCTGGCTCCCAGCGACGCCCGGCCCACGCCAGCCCTACCACCAGAGGGCACGGGAGAGGCGCTCTTTGGACAGCAGAGCGCTCCCACATGTCCCAGCTGCCACGGCCAGGCCCTTGGGCAGCAGGACCCACTCCCAGTGCTCTGCTGTGCCCGCTCCCCTTTGGGACCAGAAACAAAGATTTTGGCACAAGTGTGTTCCTCTGCTCCGTGCCACACTCTCACGTGTCCCCACCTCAGGCTGTCTTTGCTGTCAGGACAGAGAAGCACCTTCCCAACCTGCCTGTGCGAGGCTCAAGGGTGAAAGGATTCATGGTGGGCTGAAGAGTGTCCCCCCAAATCCACGTCCACACAGACCCTTAGAATGTGGCCTTATTTGGAAATAAGGTCTTTGCAGATGTGATTCGTTAAGAATCTGGGGATGAGGGTGCCTGGGTGGCTCAGTGGGTTAAAGCCTCTGCCTTCGGCTCAGGTCATGATCTCAGGGTCCTGGGATCGAGCCCCGCATTGGGCTCTCTGCTCAGTGGGGAGCCTGCTTCCTCCTCTCTCTGCCTGCCTCTCTGCCTACTTGTGATCTCTGTCTGTCAAATAAATAAAATCTTTAAAAAAAAAAAAAGAATCTGGGGATGAGATCATCCTGGATTTAAGGCTGGCTGTAAGTTCGAGACTGGTGTCTTCTTAAGAGAAAGGACACAGAGAGACACAGGGAGGAGGCCGTGTGAGGACGGAGGCAGACCCAGGAGGACGTGGCCACATGCCTGGGAGCGCCCGGAGTCCCCAGGAGCGGGGAGAGACAGGGAGGACCCTCACTCAGAGCCTTGAGAGGCAGCGTGGTTAGAGCGCATAACCTCCAGGCCATGGGGGAATGCATTTCTGTTGCTCGAAGCCCGTTACAGCAGCTCCAGGAAACTCTGACAACATCTTACAGACTGTGAAGCTGAATGAGAACGTGTTGATAACGTTTCTGGCTACAGCAACTGTTTCAAATGTCAACTTAAAATGTTACCTTCTGCAGAGGCCAAACCAATGGTGGTTGGAGCAAGGCCTCTGGAACGAGCCCACCCGGGGTTCAGATCGCACCGGGTCCTGGCTGTGTGGCCTCAGGCCAATGGCACTGCCTCTCTGTGCCTTAGTGTCCTCATCTAGAAACTGGGGATCCTGGGGGGACTCACTTGGGTGTCGCGGAGACAGGGGAGCGGATCCACACAGAATAGGTGCAGAACAGGGTCCTGTCCCGGCTGAGCCCCCAGGAAGAACTCACCACGTATTCTAACGACTTGACTGGGTCCTTCTGATTTCTGGGATTTATCCCAAAGAAATACTAATTTAACAAATCAGAAATCAAAGATGTTCAAAACGGCATGATTTACAAAGGCAACAAGCTGGAAACCGCCCAGAGACCCACTCATGGCGGGATGGGACACAGGCGTTAGAGAGCATGGAAAGACACAGACCAGGGACACCCAGACATGCTGCAGTCCCACCGCGGGGAAACACCACGCCTGCGGGCGTGAGGCCCGAGAAGGTAATGTGGACAGCAGTGCGCAGGGAACGGGCCGTGGGGCACTGTGCCCTTTGTAGCTGGCCCGTCCCTTCTGGGAGGAGGAGGGTCTGGGGCTCTGGGCTGGTGGGCCTGGGTCATTTTGGTGAAGCACAGAGAGAAGGTCCAGTGCTCGGTTCCCTGCGCTCCCCCACTCCCTCCCCCTTCCTGTCACACCCCAGAGACCTGCAGCCTCCGGAGGCCAGGGCTGTGTGACGCTGGTGTGGGCAGAGGGCTGGCAGCCCAGGGCAGGGGACAGGCCCTGACGAGCTGCGGTGCAAACGTGTGAGCAAACCTCGCTGCCCCAGCGACATTCCAGCCCTTTGCTCCTCCAGGGCCTTGGCTGACTTGTCAAAGACATCCTGTCCCCGCAGCCAAAAGTGGAGGCAGCCCCGTGCCCACGGGGAGTGAATGATCAACCACAGGATGTCCATACACACGGGGAACAGACGTCAGCCTTGGAGAGGAAGGCTGTTCTGACACCTGCTACAGCAGGGACGGACCCTGAGGACGTTATGCTGAGTGAAATCAGCCTGTCACGAAAGGGCAGTTACTGTATCACTGCACGCATGGGAGCCCCTTGGAGTAGGCAAATTCGCAGAGACGGAAGGTAGGACGAGGGAGGTGGGGCTGGCAGGGGGCGGGGGGGCAGGTGGAGCGTTGGTGTGGGACGAGGACGTGGAGAAGGTCTGGAGGTGGCCGCTGGGGACCTCTGGGCGACAACATGAACATACATAATGTCCGGGGGCTGTACACTTAAAAATGGTAAAGACAGCACATTTTATGTGACACGTATCTCACCACGATTAAAAACCAAAACAAAAAGCTTGTATTGAATGCCTACTCTGTGCCCAGCGCCGGGGAGAACGGGCCGCGAAGTCCAAGGGATGAGGGTCCTGGAGCACCAGGGGCTCCGTCCAGAGGCAACTGCAGGCCCTCCACCCCCACAGATGCTGCCCCAACAAATGCCCCCCACTCCCGTGGGGACTCAGCCTGCGGCCTCAGAGGGACCAGACCCTGGAGGGGCGTGGGCTGCCTAGGGCTCTCCAGCATCCCATCCCCACCTTGCCCACGAAACCTTGATTTTCTCCAGGGGAACCACTGTCCCGCGCTCGCGCATTGTCTTGGAGGAACTGTCCATCAAGATGCCCCGCCCCCTGGCCAAGGGGGCGGGGCATAATCCGCAAGCTGGGCCCACCAGGCCTCTGCTGAGCTCACCCATCCCAGCAGCGGCACACAACGTGGTCCTTCACTCTGGCTTGCACTTTCCCGCGTCCCTGACCTCCTGTGGCGAAGGGCCAGGGCCAGGGCACCTCCCAAACATCCAGGAGGTGAGTCAGCGCTGCCAGCATGCCACACGTGGGCGAGGGGCCACCAGAATGACTCCGGGATTTCCAGCTAGGGAGCATTTCTCCCTGAATAATGGGCGTCAAGGGGAGAGGTCTCCGTAGGGGCCATGTTGGTCTGCAGTGCCCCTGGGTCATCTAGACGCTGGCCAGGAGGGTCTATGGCACAAGACAGGTGTCTGGGCTCCCTCTGCCAACACCTACCACATTCCACAGTGACCTGGTGTCCTTCTAGATCTTCTCCCTGTTGGCCTTCCCCAGCCCCCAGCAGGCCGGACCTGCTAAGTCAGTGGTAACAGGCCCGTAGGGGCACTGTGACTTGCCCATAGCACTCAGCTGTCAGTGACAGGGAAGGCCTGCAGGGGCGCTCAGAGTCAGAGCAAGCTTTTATAAGGCACCTGCTGTATACAGATGCTGCCTTAAGTGGTGGCCCCCTCCTTCTCCAGGGTGGATCCTCCTACTCTCTCCAGCCTCATGCCTCCCCCTCCCCACCCCTCTCCCAGCCCCAGAGATGCTGGTGGGGAAGATCTCCCCCTTACCTTTCAGGCAGGACAGCTTGAGCCCCATGGCGGCGCCTCTGTGGGCCTGTGGAGAGAGAGAGGGCCTGTTGGTCTTGGCCATGTGCAGCTGGCCCCCGCCCCACCCCGCCCCACTGGTACACAACAGGAAATAGCGGGGAGAGAAGCCACCAGTGCCTGGTGAGGTCAGGGTGCGTGCTGACTACATCTGCGCTGAGTTGGCTCAAAGATGAGTCTGTGCTGGTGGAAAAAACTTTCCGGCGCCTCAGAGCTGCATTGACGGGAGATCTGGAGGGTGGGGTGCGGTCGAGGTGAGAGCGTGGTCGGGGGCTGACCTGGCCTTTTCTTTTGGGGCCACAGGGGTGGCTGGCTTCAGAAGCAGGAGCAGGAGGACATGGTGAGCTCACCGGCTGTCAGGGCGCCGCCCCTCATTTAAAAATGCATTTGGACATCTAACCGATTAAGGGCACTAAGGCCTCAGTCCATGGGAGTTAAAATTGTCCCCACAGTCGGCCAGCAATGGGATTTACCCTGAGCATTCTGAGCGATGGATAAAACAGGCCGAGGCTGACAGTGTTCGGCACCTGTGTGCTCCAGCCCCGGGACGTTCTACTCACAGACGGGAAATCAAGGCTCAGAGAGCGGGGGTTCCAACCCCGGGGCTGCCCCAACCCGGGTCTGGGGCCTGTGAGGCTCTGCTCACCCTTCTGGGGAAGAGGAGGGAGCTGCCTGTGTGCCAGGCTGCCTGGGGGAGAGGCGAGGAGGGTGGCCATGAGGGAAGCCCCTTGGATCTCCACCATGGGTGTGTGAGCGAGGCCCCACGTTGTGCTCTCCTTGTTCTGCCCAGAGGCCGGCATCTGTGGCTAGGAAATGCTGGGGTTCCCCCAGGAACTCGCTACACGGGCGGTGCTGCTGGACCAGCAGCCTCGGGCCCCCTGGGAGCTTGTTAGCAATGCCGCATCTCAGGCACACCCAGAAGCCTTGAGCCACAATCGGTATTCTAACAAGGCCCCCCGGGGAGTCGTGTGTCTGTTAAGGTTGGAGAAGCGCGTTCTGGGCCAGAAATTATGGAGCCTTAGGATGGAAGATGGGGTGTGTGGGGTGGGGGAGCAGTGCGGGCAGTGGGGGGGACAGTGAGGGTGTGGAGAAGCAGCTGGAAGTCTGGGAGGCACACAGGCTCGGGTGCTGGAGGGACCAGGAGGGGCTGGCCTGGAGAAACCCAGGGTGAGGGCTCCGGTTTTACCCAGGCTGGGTCTGTGGGACAGGTAGGAAGGCAGGGGCCCGGACGCATTTCTTAGGAGATGGGCTGGGGGACTGGGGACAAGGCAGAGAGCACAAATGAGTGGGAGGTGGGAGGGGAGAGAGACAGGGCAGGAGAGGGACAGACGGTGGTCGAGTGTCTCTTGACTTGCCTGCAGGCCATGGAGCTGTGTGCCCTCCTGGCTGGACTAGAGCCCGGCTTAGCTGGGTAACCACGGATGGGCTGTTCAACCAACCCAGGCTTCATTTGCCTCATCTTTAAAATGGGGATGATGCTGGGGGATCTGGGGGGCTCAGATGGTTAAGCCTCTGCCTTTGGCTTAGGTCATGATCCTAGGGTCTTGGGCTGGAGCCCCACATTGGGCTCCCTGCTCAGCGGGGAGCCTGCTTCTCCCTCTCCTTCTGCCACTCCCCCTGCTTGTGTTCTCTCTCTGTGTCAAATGAATAAATTAAAAAAAAATCTTAGGGGTGCCTGGGTGGCTCAGTGGGTTAAGCTTCTGCCTTCGGCTCTGGTCATGGTCTCAGGGTCCTGGGATCCAGCCCCGCATCAGGCTCTCTGCTCAGCAGGCAGCCTGTTTCCTCCTCTCTCTCTCCCTCTCTCTCTCTGCCTACTTGTGATCTCTGTCTGTCAAATAAATTAAAAAAAAAAAAAAGTAAAAAAAATCTTAAAAAAAAAATGGGGATGATGGTCTTGGCAGTCTCACTCAGCAGCAGGACGACGGTACGATCAGGAGGGCACAGAACTCCAGTCCGAGAAGTGTCCGATGCTATTATTTACACCAGCCACAGAGGGAAGACGGGCAGTGGTTTCCAGCTGGGGCCTTTCTCCAGGGGCGTACTCCTTGCAGTGTGGTCCTGGGACCGGAGCGTGGGATCACCAGGAGCTTGTGAGAGATGCCAGGGTCGCAGGCCCCGCCCCACCTGCAGGCTTGGCACCTTCATCTCAAAACAAGACCCAGGGGGTGTCCATAACCACTGCAGTGACCCTGAGCACTGTCTCCTATGACCCCACGAATTCGCCTGGGCCCTTAAAAAGATACAGATGCCTGGGTCCCACTCCAGAGACTCTAGGCTAA